TTATTTCGAGGTCACGGTGATCTTCAAGAAAACAGGGTGGGGGCAAAAATTCAGTCATAAACTACTGAAGAGTAAAGTGCTTGGAGATGACATGCAGACAGTGAAAAGTAAGGGGTTTGAAGAAAGATTGCCCAGTTCAGGAAGCAATTGCGTTCAGAAACAGCCATTTTCAAATGAAAGAGACATGATCACATTTGTTGGCTTGGAAAATGTGAGCAGGAAGGATTGAAGATGCAGAAAGCAGGGGGTAAGTGGAGACAAGGTTTGGAAGTGGGAGATGTTGTGATTAATAATAGAGTTGGAAATATAGTAAGCTTTGGAAAGTCAGCCTGGGAGCCACTCTGATCTAAGAGAGAGTGTGAAGATACAAAGAAATCAAAGAAATATACTCCACGTGGGCAGAATATACCATCACGGAGGGTTTCATGGATCTTTATACCACCTATTCATCACACCCAATAGCACCAGGACACCGCACTTTAACTGGAAATGGGTTCATTTATGAATACAACTCTCTGTTTGTGTGGGATATCAATTTAGAAAGCATCTCTAAAGTGTGAAGTGATGGGGATTTCGCTGGCATTGGCTGTCCATTGAGGGCTCTCTGATGAGGTAAATTACACCTTAGCTGTAACCCGTCTTGTTTAGAAAAATGACTGCTAGCAAATCATTTTTTTGAGTGTCTTATCTGTGCTTCATTTCTGTGTTGGTACTTGTTTAATTCTACTACAGTGTGAAACATTTCAGGTATTTTATTCCTCCGAATTTAATTCTTTCTAAAGAAATCTTTCACAATTGTTTTAAGTTTCACGCGAAAAACAATAAAAAACAAAACCAAACCCCAAACTCCCTGAGGATTTTGAATTGTTATGGGAAATGAACAACTTGATTAAAAATTTAAAGAACACAAAGAGAGTCACTTAATTTTTGTCTGTTCAAAATGGAAAAACATGTGAATTTTTAAAGATCCAAGACTGTAAGTGAACTGAAAGGAACTGCCGTTCAGTTAAGCATGAAGAACAGGATTTTAAGGTTGTGTCAGTTATTAACTTCTAATCTGTGTGAAGAAACTCCAGAACTTTCTCTTCCTGTAACTAGTAATTAAGCCATTAGTCTGACTGGAGCAATTAGAGGTGAGTATTTTATAAAAACAGAGGTAATGAAGAAGCCACTGTACACAGAGTCACATCCAGATTAGGACCTGCCAGCAGCAACACAACAACAGCAAAAGGACGCAATCCAAAACCACAAGGAAATCACAACTCATTTCAACTGAAAACAAACAAACACGTGGTGGAAATAAAAACAAGATTATAGTTCTTATTCATATACATGCCCACAGGAAAGTACTCCTTAAAATGGGAAAATTGTCCCATCTATATACGTTTCTGTCCTTATGGATTAATATTTGCAGCTAAAGAAGAGACTGTTACTTGAGCTTTTTTTTTTTTGCTTTATTTTGCAAATGTAACATTCCAAGAGCATGTTTGAAAAATAAGTAGGATAATTAAGAAGGAACTTGGCCTCAGAGAATGTGTCCATTCTGGTATTAACATTCTGGAGTCTCCCTCTGTCACTACTCAAGGGACAGGGTTTGATGTTTTAGTCCAAACAGCTTTGACCACTGGGTCACAGGGCCCCTTAAAAGGAAGTACTTAACTTTTCAACAGTGGTAACAAGAATGGATATTCTTAGAAATCTGCTTAAAACGCTTCCCCTTCTCAGTCCAATTTGGTCAAAGCCCTTGTAAATTTAACATACTCTTTTAGAACAACTGATTCCACCCCAAATACTTGAAATTTTGGTACCTTGTTTGAAAGTGAAAGTCGCTGAGTTGTGTCCGATTCTTTGCGACCCCATGGACTATACAGTCCATGGACTATACAATCCATGGACTTCTCTAGGTCAGAATACCGGAGTGGGTAGCCTTTCCCTGGTACAGTTTATCTTTACAGCTTTTTGAGATTGTGCATTTATATGGAAAATCTGATGAATGGTGACAACCCAAAACAATGATCCTCAAACTCAGAACTGTCTACTTGCTGCTGCTGCTAAGTCACTTCAATCAAGTGATTACTAAAATGCAGATTCTTCAGCACCCAGGCCACCCTGAGATACAGTCATAGGATTTTTGGCTTGTTCTTTTAAGCAACTGTCCTAGGGGATTTTGATAAAGTGGTATAAATGTTTTAAAGAAATGTAATTCAGTAAAGGGTTTCCCAGGTGGCTCAGTGGTAAAGAATCCACCTGCCAATGCAGGAGACAAGGGTTTGATCCCTGGGTGGGGAAGATCCTCTGAAGAAGAAAATAACAACCCACTCCAGTTTTCTTGCCTGGGAAATCCCGTGGACAGAGGAGCCTGATGGGCTACATACAGTCCATGGGATTGCAAATAGTAGGACAAGACATAGCGACTATACCACCACCACCAATTCAGTAAAATTTAACCCTTATGTATTGGATCTGGCTCAAAATTATTTTAGGAGGCAAGTTGGAGGTATGTAATTATTAACCATATCTTCTTAATCAATAGGGAAGTGACTTTTAAAAGTTAACAGGCTATTTTTTTTGAGCAGTTCTAACTTGACAGAAACGTTGAGGGCAAAGTGCCCCTATATTTGTTTCCTATATTATGAACATGTTGTATTAGCATGGTACATTTGTTACAACTGATGAGCCAGTATTGGAAAGTGACTTTGAAATGACCATGGCCAAGGCTGCCAGTGGCTGGGCTGCGGCTGGGAACCAAGCCATATCCACACCCTCGCTTGAACAAGCTGCTTGGTACGTTCTCTTGAAAGATGTTCTATACAGATTAACACCATAATAGCTGTAATTGCTCTGTGCCAGTATCTGAACACAGGTGGCAGCAGGACTCATTTGACTAAGCCCTGTGATTGGTGTCTGGGATGGTTGGTATTTATCCTGGCTCCATCTTAACTTTCCATGCAACCTGGGACACAATCGTTAATGGCTTACATGTGTAAACCTGTGAAACAGGGCAATCACAGAGCAAAATACCAAGTATTAGTTTATACCTTGACTCTTTCTAAAGGGAATGGGTACGATATTAATGCTCAAGAATTGCTCTGACAGAGGTTACAAACAGGGGCTTCTAATTTCTCAACTGAAGATGGGAAGGGCACCAATTAAAAAAAAAAAAACCCTTATAGAATATAGTTTTACTCCAATACGATATACTTTCCTCAGAGGTCTTAGGACAAGCCACACCTGTTCGTTAGGTTGAGTGGGAAGTGGCATGAGTGGCTGGACATCTCTGGGTAGGCTTCCCAGGAAAGATGTTACTTTCTGACTTGAGTTTTAAAGGATGAGCAGTTGCCAAAACCCCTAGAGAGAGTTTCTCAAACCACCTGTGGTTAGGAACCAGTCGTTTTTGTTCCCAGTCTGCCAGGTACCAATACGAAACCCCTGCTGTGCCAGCTATGACTCACCTGGAGTCTGACAACACCCAAACTTGTTTATTCTCAGTTCAAACAGTCCACCAATCACGTGCTTCTATGTCGTGGTGTTTGCTAGATTGCTACAAAAGTTTTTAAACCTTTGCTCTCATTTTCTCTGTTACAGACAGGCTCCAGTTTGCAGAACAGCACAAGGCAGCTGAAACTTGCTGGAAATGCAAGATTATCAGCGCTTACCCTCATCAATTCCAATCTGTATTTTAATCATGATGCGCAGGTGATGAGTCCAGAGAACTCAGGACTCGGTATGGTGGTGGGAGGGTTTGAGCCTTCACCCGCTTCCATTTGGCTATCTGCTTCCCTTGGGTCCGGGAAAAGGGTTACATTTTTTTAAAGGTGTAATGGGCCACGTCCTCTTCCAGTTTACAAAACTGAATTTTCCCGCCGCGACGAAAACGTCTTGTAACCTGAGTGCAGGAGAGAAACTCCACACGGGTAGGAGGCTTCCAGAAATTCTGATCAGCCTCCGTTCTCTGCTTTGATCTGGCCCAACAGCCGGGGCAGCTCCCCGGATCGCGCTTCCGTCCCCGGGGTCGCTCATCTGCAGAGCTGCATTAATGAGATCCGCGTTTAGCCGGTTCCAGGGTCTGCTGAAGATCAAAGGCACACACACACACAAACCCCCCAGCCCCTCCTCCTCCTCCTCCGCGTAGACTATTAGGTCTCTATCACCAGAGGGGAGTCAACTTCCCCCGCCCTCCCCGCGGTGGGGAAAGGAGGAGGCGGAGAGGCAATCCCCTCTGGCCCCGCCCGCCTCCGAGCCCCGGAGCCCGCGGCGGTCCGAGGCGCGGAGTGGGCGGGGCCTGGGCGAAGTTGGGGGCGCGGCGCGCCGGCCGGGCGAGGCCTAACCTGGCGGAAGCGCGGGTAGGGGCGTGCTGAGGGCGGGGCTCCCGGAGGGGCAGGGCGTGGCCAACGAGCCGCGGGTGGGCCGGCTGGGTGGGCGGGGCTCGGTACTGGGCGGGGCGATACGAGCGAGTGGGCGGGCCCGGACGAGAGGGCGGGGTGGGCCGTGCGCCCCTGTCCGCGAGTCTCGGTGTGACTGTGAGCCGGTGAGCTCCGGGCGCCGAATCCTCACCGCCGCGGCGCTCGAGCTGGGAGAACTACCTCCGGGGCTCGCTCTGTGGCCGCTGTTCTCCTGCCCGCCCTGAGCGCCTCGGGCCGGAGTGCAGAGGGAGTGGGGCGCCCTCCCCAGCCGGCCCCCGCAGCCCTCCCCCAGCCCCGGGGAAGAATGTGCCACCAGCTGTTCTCCGCTCGCGAGCGCTGCGCCCAGGAGTGAGGAACTTGGAGCCCGAGGAGACAAAGGCTGCAGTTGGGACGGATGCGTTGAGTCTGGGGTTTGGGCAAACAAAAGGTGCGAAAGCCGAGAAGGGGGAGACGGAGATGGCAGCGGGGGAGCCCCGCGGGCTCGAGTTTCTGGGAGTCGCGCCTTGACACGCATGGTTCCCCCGGACCTTCGGCTGCATTGACTTCCGCGAGAGCTGGGAGCCGGACTCGGGCAAGTTGGGGAGCGCACGGGGAACAATGGACAACTTCTTCCCCGAGGTGAGAGAGCTCGCGGCCGGGAGGGCGGGCGCGGGCTCCCTTCCTGCCGGGAACCTGGCCTCCGGGGAGGGAAGAGATGCGCCCCCGGCGCTGCGCGCACGCCCGCTACCGCGCGCGCTAAGCCCAAGAGGGCGAAACTTTCGGGGAGTCGCCAGAAATCGAGCCCCGGGGGGCGGGGGTGAGTCTCCTGGCTGAGTAAGCCGGGTTGGGTTTTTATTTTGTCCCGCGCTCTCGTTTGGCTCCGGGATGCCGCGAAGGTGAGCGTCCTGGCGCAGGGGCGGCTGGCTCACCGGCTGTCCCGCGGCGCCCCGGGCGAGGTGAGCGGGCGGACGAGGGGCCTGACGGGAGGGCTGCCCGCCCCGCTGCCGGGGTGCGGGAAACCCCATGAAAAGGCTCGTCGGGGACGTGCCTTTTCTCCAAGAAAGGTCTGGTCTGGTATTTCCTTTGCAAAATGTGCCGGCTTCCTGTGAGAGGGGCGCAAACGCTTCCAGAGGAGACGCTTAATGAAGTGTGAGAAGGGGGCGGCGAGCGTTCAGTCGTTGACTTGAGTTCTCCGGCCGTCGGACCTTTGGAGTGTAGGTTGCAGTGCTCCCCAAGAAGTGCTCCTTCAAGCTTTGAGATCATTCCAGAGCGTGAGATCAAAAGATCACATGTTTGTGCTGACTGTCCTTGGCAGATTTTGAATTCGAATGTAAAGAAAATCGTTTAGGGCGCACTTCGGTTGTTTTGAGAGATGGAACTGATGTTCCTTTTAGGGTCATTGAGGGCGGGACACCACGGTTACTTGAAACCCTTGACTTGAGAACCTTTTTTTTTTTCTTTTTTCCCTGGGATCGAGCGTTACTGTGGTTTCTTGGCTCCCTATCCTTTCTTGGTTGTGTTTATTTAACAAATTCTATTTAAGTTTGAGGTTTGAAGTGGCTCAAAGTAAACTTAGTTAGCTTAAGGAGTCTGATGTGACTTTCATTGAAAGCCAGGGGATGTTTTGTAAACCCAGGACAGTTTTGGGACCTTCCAGCAATTTAGATTGGTGAGGATTTGCCTCTGTGTTGGTTATCTGGCTTTATCAGAGTTAATTGGACTTATTATTTCAAGGCATTGTACTTTCCAGGTGCCCACTTACCATAATAGTCTATAATGGCCAAAGTGGTATATTCTTGTGTAATAGTAATAGCCGTTTTTTCCCCAAAAAGTGGCTTCTCACGCGTGATGCCTACATTCATGATGAAAAGTGAATTGGAAAGTAATTAATCATTCATTAATGCATATTTCTACTTAAAAAAATGAACACTATAATTATGAGGCTAGCGTCTCCTAATCCATAGAGCTTTGTTTTCATGCCTGTAAGAAGGCACCAGAACGTTCTGCAGGAGTTGCAGGTTGACCAGTGATGAAAGACCAGTGGGCTGTTTAACTGCTTTCATCTGTAGGAAAACCTGAGGCTCTGCCTGCGGGACACTCTTAATTTTTTTTTTTTTTTGGTGGCAGAAAGGAGGCCCTTATTTTGCTTTTGTGTTGTGAATCTCTTAGGAAATTTGCTGAGACACAGAATTTGTGTTCGATTTGTTGGGGTCCGGGTCCCCATGAAGCTTGTCTGTGTACCGCGGAGGCTAGTGACCTCCCCTTTGGAAGAACTCTGCCCCCTAGTGCACGTGGGGAGAACTGCAGGGTAACGTGGAACAGCTGCAGCCTCCTGCCCTCGATCCTACCCTTGGACTTGGAAATAACTCTCTCCTTACAATACACTTTTGTCCAGTGTAAGAAGACCTGGTTGTTGGATTTTATATCCACGATTAACATAATTTTGAATTTGGCCTGCAGTGATCAACTTCTCCATTCCCTGCCTGTCCTAGGTGAAAAGTCTTAACCCAGAGACATTGACCCTTGCCCAAGGTTGAAGAGGTGGTTACAGAACCCACAGCCTTTATCCTCTGTTGCTGGTGATTTTAGTAGCTAGCGGAAATTTTTATGGGCTTAAAGTTATACTTTTACTCTTGTGATGTATTTGCATTGCAATGTTAATTTCTAATCAGAAATTTCTGATTAATTGATTTCTAGTCAATATTCATTTCTAATCAGAGTTCCTCCCCTAACCAGTTACTTTGGATGGGGAGTCAGCAGGGCCAGACGCTCTGCAGTGTTGTGTTCTTTGGGGACATACTTCTCTACCGTAGACCCTGTCTCTCTTAAGTATCTTAGAGCACCCTTTTGTGAAATTGTCCAGCAAAGAACATCTTGTAATGTCCTGTTAGAGCAGGAACAGTGAGTGTGGAAGTGATATATTTCCAAGGACAGCAGATTTGAAGGGCCTCTTGTATTGCCAAGTGATGTCCTGTTCTTTGGTACCTTTTCCCTTTGTGCTTTAGGCATAATGACTTGTTGCTTGTCAGACAGCAGTTTGAAGCTAATGTTAACAATTGGAAAAAAAACTATGTCGCATATATTAGCTTTCTGTGTGAAGGGCCAAATAGCAAGGAAACGAGAGCTCCTTGTGACTAGCAGCTGCCATTTAGAGTGAGAGCTTCCCAAGCTGGGTACCATTGACATTCTGGGTCAGTCAGTTCTTTGATGGGGGGAACCCGTCCTGTTGTATCGTGGGGTGTTGAGCAGCCTCCCTGGTCTCGACTCACTAGATATCAGTAGCATCCACAAGTCATGACAACTGAAGTGTCTTCAGATGATGCCAGATGAGCTACGGGGGGCAAAATCACTCTCACTTGAGAATCACTGAGCTAGATCCCTGGATCAGTTCCTTGTGGAATTAATTCCTTGTGTGTTGCAGACACAGCCTTCTTGTCTGCTCTTAAGTAGCGGCGGGCTGCCGCTCAGCGGGAAGCCCCTGAGGTTTGTGCCCACAGCTGATGGCTCCTGACTTCACAGTGTACGCACGGGTTGGAGAAACTGAGGGCTCCAGGCTCCCCAGCTGCGTTTCCGTTTCTTCATGCTGTGTCTTAGATCTTTCTGACTTCTCTCGAGCAAACTGTGTGCACACTTCCGGGAAATTTGCCTTTTCAACGTTTAGAGGTAAGCTGTTCAAAAGTTGACCTCAGGAAGAACCTAAGGTTACATATGTCTGAAACCAGATGCACTTTTAAAAGCGAAGAGGCTCAACTCGGAAAAGTGGCACGACTACCATGCAGATGTGTTGATGTTTTGAAGTGGCTGCTGTTTTCCTCCAGGGCTGGGTAGAGTGCCTACAGTACTGGAAGGGCCAGTCAGTGCCGGCTGGACCGTAAACAAGCTGGACTTCTCTGTCTTCTGTTGTAGGAACAGGTGTGGCATAATGGCTGATCGAGTGAAAGATCTTCTCAGGGTTATTAATGGGACACGTGAACACTTTGATTTTCAGAATATGTAAAACATACACAAGTAAGATACTCATAAACACATAAAGCAGGCATTGATGTTGTAAGGACTGCATTGTCAGTGGAAAACATCCCAGCTGTACCTGTTTCTCAGTCTGGTTCAGCCTGGGCGGGAACAAACCCACCTCTCAAGGTGTTAAGTGGAAGTATCTTCCTTATTTCCACTTAATTTGGAGGGGAGTCTTAGGTTTGGTTGTTTCCTGGAACTCAAATAGTTCTTTTAAACTGGAATGAGTTCTTGAGCCTATTTCTCCCCCGCCTTTTTTTTTTCCCTGCATCTTATTGGTTTTCTTTTTTTTTGTCTTGGTACAAAGGCAAGCACTCAGGGCTTCTTGTCCCACTGCATGCTGCAGGTGACCCCTTTGATGACTGTAAAATGAAATCAGAGCATTCCCTGGTGTCTTGTCTCGCAGTGAAGTCACAGTGCCCTGCCCTTTCTTTTAATTTTTTAAAAATGAAAAAAAAAAAAATTTGGCTGCACCAGATCTCAGTTGAGGCATATGGGATCTCAGTCGGGGCATGCAGAATCTTTAGTTGCAGCATTCGGGATCTAGTTCCCTGATCAGGGATTGAACCCAGGTCTCTTGCATTGGGAGTGAGGAGTCTTAGCCACTGGACCAGCAGGGAAGTCACAGTGCCCCGCCATGCTGGGAACAGCAAAGCTGCAGGAGCAGCGGTGAGCAGGGAGCCCTGGTCCGTTGGGTGCTCACCTCTCCCCAAGTCAGGCCCAGAGCAGCATAGGCGGGGCGGGCACTGTTTAACCAGAGCCGGACAGAGAGAGGGCGGTGTGTTTGCTTTTCCAGCAGCCTTTTAAGTGGGGTCACCTTTAAACACAGGCACCTTGAACGTGCTCTTCTGTGGAGATTGGGCAGGGGGACGTAGGATACCTTCTTATAAATGGGTTTCAAAATTTTGCATTCAGGGTGACTGCTGGGTGATGCTCTCAGGTCATTGATTTGCAGGGAGCGTTCTGGCTTACCTGGGGGCTCAGATGGTAAAGAATCTGCCTGCAATGCAGGAGACCAGGTTCTATCTCTGGGTCAGGAAGATCCCCTGGAGAAGGAAATGGCAACCCACTCCAGTATTCTTGCCTGAAGAATCCCATGGACAGAGGAGCCTGGTGGGCTGCAGTCCATGGGTCGCAGAGAGTTGGAGATGAAACTAACACACACGTGCACTCAAGCAGGAGCCATCTGGAAGGTCTGCGGGAAGCTGGGCCTCACTCCTGGGGCCTGCCATGCCCCTCGGTTGGATGAAAGCACCTCATCACTAAGAGGAGAAAAGATGTGGGCTTTGGGAGCTTGGCTGCACACCCCCTCCGCACTTACAGCCTCTCAGTCAGGTTATCTGACCTTCCAGGGCTTCATTTCTCTGTCTGTGTTGTTGTTTAGTCGCTAAATCGTGTCCCGACTCTTTTTGACTCCATGGACTGCAACATGCCAGGCCTCCCTGTCCCTCACTTTCTCCCAGAGTGTGCCCAAGTTCTGTTGTCTATAAGTGAGCATAATAGTGTTGACCTTGCATGGCTATTAAGAGAATTCAAGATAAGATTTACAAGGCACTTGGCACTTGGTAGGTGAGTTATAATACAAGGTTAGAGTAACTTGGAAATTAAGAACAAGTGGCGTCTGATGG